GATTCACCATCCCTGGAAGTTTTCAAAACAAGATTGTGGCACTTAGTGCCATGGTCTCTTAGCGACAGTAGGGTTGAACTTGATGATCTTTGAGGTCTCTTCCAACCTGGTTGATTCTATGACTCTATACTGATGTTTTAGTTTCTGCTAAGTTTGGGTTTAATCTAGATTAAGGACATTTTCTTTCTTGTGTCTCATGCTCTGCGAGTGAGAAGGTACAGAAGAGAATCTGGGAGGGAGCATAGCTGGGACAGGTGAGCTGAACTAGCCAAAGGGATATTCCACGCCATGGCACGTCATGCCCAGTACATAAGCAGGAAGGGCCAATCCGGGGAGAGCTTCGGGGTTGCACCGGTCCACGGGTGGTGAGCAAATGTATTGTACATCACTGATTTTGTTTTCTTGTTTTGTTTTTCCTTTCACTTTCTTTTTATTATCCATTAGCATTTCAGCTCATTCTGCTCTTTATTATTAAGCTGTTCTTATCTCAACCTACATATTTTACTTTATTTTCTCCTCCCCATTCCTCCGGGTTGGGGGGAAGAGGGGGAGAAGGGACTGTGAGCAGTTGTGTCATTCTTGGCTGTTAGCTAGGGTTAAACCACAACACAAACGTACCTTTTTTTTTTTTTTTCTGAGGGAATTTCAGGGGTTTTAACACTCTGGTCATTTGTCAATCTGTGGTACAGAATCCATACACCTAATCGACTGGAAAACTTCCTTTTTGCTGGAAATCTGACTTGAGCTAGTTCTCAAAAATCTCTAAAGTAGCATTTGTTCCCCTAAGAAAATCTAATTTTCACACAGTAAAAAACCAAAGATTTATTTGTAAAATATTTTACTTACCTCACTCAAATCCTTTTCTTCACTTGCTGATTCACTAAAATAAGAAAAAAAAAGTAACCATTTTGAAGTGCTGGAGGTGATTTAAAATACTGTTTAAAAACACCAATACTTAAATAAAAAATTGGTTTTGTCAACTACTTGGAATTTTAGTCAATACAATCATTTATACCATCCTCACATTTATCTTAAGAGTATCAATGTTATTTTCTATTGTTTGACTGCCACAATCTTCTCTAATTAGGAATGTTTAAAACCACTGGATAAAACCACAGACTTTCATACAATGGAGAAATTCTAACCACATCTTGAGCTATTCAAACACAAATCACTAATATGCTTTTGAACTCATATATCAAACAATTACTAGCATTTTAGTGCAAATAGTTTATATTTTGGAAAATCTTCTTTACACATGTCTGACATACATTTCACTGATAAGCTAAACATCAAGATGTAATTTATTATATAGGTGTAGTTAAATGAATTAAAAAAGAAATCTATTTGAATATACTAAGGCTAATATATGCTGTTAATTATCACAAACTAGTAATAAAGACCCTTGAACTTTTTTCTATCACACAGTTTAAAAAAAAAAAATTATGTTAGGAAAAAAGCAAGGAATATTAAAGGAGTACCCATAGTCAAGGCTTTGAAGTGTGCTCTAAGCAATCAGTAAGTAATCAGGTCATCAAAAAACCCCTCTATAATCTGTTGCAATCAATTGCATTAATTCAATCAGGTGCTGCACCTAGGTCAGGGCAACTGCTTGTACCAATACAGGCAGGGAAATGAATGGATTGAGAGCAGCCCTGCAAGAAGGACTTGGGGGTGCTGGTGGATGAAAAGCCAGACATGAGCTGACAATGTGTGCTTGCAGCCCAGAAAGCCAGCTGTATTGTGGGCTGCATCAAAAGCAGCGTGGGCAGCAGGTCAAGGGAGGTGATTCTGTCCATCTACATTCAGCTCTGGTGAGATAACACCTGGAGTGCTGTATTCAGCTCTAGGGTCCTCAACACAGGAAAGACAGAAACCTGAGGGAGGGAGTTTGGAGGAAGGACATCAAGATGATCACCTCTCCAATGAGGAAAGGCTTAGAGACTCAGGCTTGTTCCACCTCAAGAAGAGAAGGCTCAAGGAACACCTTAATGCAGCTTTTCAATTGTTAAAAGGGGCCTGAAAGAAAGATGTGGGCAGACTTTTCAGCAGGGCCTGTTCTGACAAGACAAGAGGTAACGATTTTAAACCAAAGGCAGGCAAATTCAGGCATAAGGAAGAAATATTTTTACAGTGAGGGTGGTGTGCCACTGGGACAGGTTGTCCAGAGAGGTGATGGATGCTCCACTCCTGGAAACATTCAAGGCCAGGTTGGACGGGGCTCTGAGCAACCTGAACTAGTTGAAGACGTCCCTGCTCATTGCAGGGAGGTTGGATGCAATAAAATTTAATGGTCCCTTCCAAACCACTTTATGATTCTATGACAAGGAAATTCTCTAAGTTGGTCTATTTTCATGGAATTGTGTTACCTCAATAATCAAGAGTGTTTAAAATCAGAATGTAGTATTAAAAAGGAAGAGAGAAGAAAACCAGGTTTACCCAAGCATACAAAGTTACTTCACCTCATTTTTAGTGTGTTCTTTAGATTTGAAAAAAAAAATATTTGGGACCATAACCAGGGTTGGTAAAAGCAACAATAACCAGAGTACACAACAACTTCTACATATGAAGAAAATTTGGGTAGACTTAAAAAATTTAGGCTAGAAAAGAGATGGTCTAAGAAGGGATTGTGGTCAAGACAGGTACAAAGAGATTCACTGCTCACTGTCTCCCTCCAGAATAAGAGTTAGAATTTACTGAATGATCAGAACAAAAACAGAAGACACTTCTGCAGCAGAGAGCAGGGTGTGAATGAAAACAATATTACAACAGACTTGATACATACTTTGAAGACAGCTCTGTTAAGGGTTACTAATTAGGTGAATCACATCTCACTCTGAGAGTGCCCTGAGCTGAAAGTGGGTGGATAGTGGGAGACTACTCAGGTAAACATTATACTGGCCCAAATTTTTCTCTTTGTGTACTGATGGCCAATGTTGGTGACAGCATAGCGTGTCAGAGAAATGTTTGGTCAGATTCAGCACTGGCATTCTTAATTTCTGAAAGATTAACAGACAGTGAGTATAAATGATGCTAATGTTCATAATATCTTGAAAGTAATCTGTTCTGAAAACTGGAAATCACATATTAACCTTTTGACAGCAGGAACTGAGCTTAGATGTGGATCATCCTTCAGCAGATCATGACTGCTTTTACTTTTTCCCTTCATGCTCTGTTAAGAGGTAAAAAAAGAAAAGAAGTATTATAAATTTCAGTGTTTAAGAGTATAGACAATGAAAAAAGATTATGGCAAGAAAAAGATAACCTGTTTCTTGTCAGTTTTAGCCTAACCAATAAGCATAAACACTTTTAAGGGCAGAAGAACAAAGTGTCCCAGAAAGAGATGCATCAAACTGACTCCATGGATTTACAATATATTTTTGCAATAGCAAAATGTGTTTTAAAGGAAAGATGGGGGAAAAAAAGGAGGTTGTTTAGTCATCACAATTATTACACATCATCAAGACACATGGCCTAGCACATATAGACTTGAGTGAATGAAGAAGTAACAACTTGCCAATAATGGCATACAACAACTCAAAAAGCCACCAACGTACAAAGCAGTGTTTATTAACTGGAGGAACACCAATTAACTCCCTAGGGAAAAAAAGAAATTAACAACCTGCAATACATCCATCTGGAATACATCAAGCAGGAATTATCTACTGACACAGGGAGTCAAATCAATCTAACAACACATAAGGTCTTCAGGCAGGACTGCAGTGGGAAAGGATTCCTCATGCTAACCTGAAGACAGTACACTTAAATTTCAAAGTGAAATCAGACTGAAAAACCTCAGTTACAGAAAGAGTCTGTGACCTGAATATCTCCATCGCACATGCACTGTATAATCGTTTCAGGAAGACAGTAGTCACGTGGATAATAAAATCTTACTCATTTAAATGCAACTTAAATTTTTTATTCTGCAGGAAACAAAGACTAACATATTCAGCAACAGGAAAAAATACTTCTTTCAGAAAGGGGGGTGTGTGGATTTGGGGTGGGGGTGTGTATTGTAAAGTGCTCCAAACAAGTACAGACACTAAGCAGTTTCGACACCGAATTCTCCAGTTTAAACACTAATAAACAATTGGTGCAGGCCCCATCTTCAGATCCCTGGGTGCACTAACAGCGTTCATGGCCTTGAGGGGTTTTACCCGGAGCCTATGAGCACCACTTCAGCTCAGGCCTGAGAACACACTCACTGTCTGAACCATGTCAGAGGTGTACCTGCATCTATTCTGAATGAGCCTGTTGGACCCATACTGTGGACTTGTCTCCACCCCTGTCTTCCGTTCCCATATCTTGCTGCTCCTGAGTGGACACTGTGTTCAGTGGGCCTCAGTTTTGGTTCTTGCTTGCCATTTTCAGGACTGCTGACGGACCCTGTTATCAGCAACCAAGTCTGCCTGCTGTATCCAGACCTTGTGGGATTGTGCCCCTGTTAGTGAGCACACTGTGCTGGAATCAATCTTCCCTTCTCACTCACCCTCCCTCACGCAGCCGTTCTGCACTTGCCTGTCTTTGACACAGCCTTGCTAATCCTGTAATATCTGCATTCTACAATCTCCTGACACACACAAATTATCTTTCTAAGATTCATACTTTCTATAATACATCCATTTAGAGACTCTCCTGACACAGAAGACACAATTTTGACCTGTAACATTTAAATGACACCAACGGCCCTCGCTCCTCATTTAATCTCTTTTTGAAAGCATCTGTATTTCTGATTTTAATCACATCTTGTGCCATAAATGTTCATAACTTAAATTTCAAGAGGGAAAATACTTTGTATATTTATTTTTTCATTTATCCTTATGTCTCAACCTCCATACTGTAAGAAATTTCTGGTATTATTGTTCAAAACTCAAACATAAGAACAAGCCTAAGAACTTAAAAGGTTTTTGCAAACATGCAGAAAAAGTAATTTAAGCTGAAAAGAAAAATGAGGATGACTTGGTATAGTACCTGACTAACTCTACTGATTTCTTCCTCTTCTTCTTCAGCTTCTTCCCCAAAGGAAAGCAGGTTGAAGTTTCTTTAAAAGAGAAAAAACATTTTCTAGTAAGATTTGAAATAGTGTATTAGTAACACTCCATAAACTTTATTACTTTCATGTTGTATGTGATTTTTAAACACCTCATTGTCTTGCTAAATGCATCAATTCCAAACAACTATAGCATGTTGCTTTGCAGTAAGCCAAATATATTTAGAAAAGCACGTTCTACTCAATTCCTGAGACAAGGATATAAACACATTACTTAGAAAACCTGAAGACACAATTTAATAAGTTCTGCCTTGACTAACTGTGACTCTTCAACGCTGACAGCTCAGTTGTATCTCTAATTCTTGTCCTCAACAGAGCAGCAATTCAAGTAACGATCACAAAATTTTCAGGACATGATGGTTCAGAAAGGCATCAAATGCACACACATTCACATAATGTAATTAAAAGAAATAATGATCTTTACTTTCTTTTCTGGAGTTAATTATTTACGCTGTGTCGGAACCAGACAGCTGCAATATGTTGCATTTTTGTGCAACAGACCTGACTAGGTGCCCATTAGATTTCCTCTTACTTTTGAGTGCATCTTTGTGGCTAATTTCCATTCACAGAAACTGCAATTTCCCATGTGAAAATGGCTGGCTGCCTTTTGTGAGGTATTTTAGAGGGAGTGAAGTGGTAGCTGCTAAAATAAGTTCAAAAACCTCAGACAACTGAGTTATGACCTAGCTACTAGTAGTACTAGGATGTTTTACCAGCAGTGACAGCTCAGTCAGAAAAGAATGATTGCACATTCTGGCATCTGGGAAAGACTTAAGCTACCTTTTACTTTTACAACAAACTAGTATCACCATGTATGAAACAGTTACAGCTCAGCTGATGCACAGGAACCACTTCAGTCAGGGGAATTACATTTGCGTGATACTCTCTGGAAACAGTGAAGCAAGTTTTGCTAAGGTTATGTAAGATCCCTCCATGCATTTTGGTACAGCCTTGCGCTTCAAAAGCAGACGACCAAATGAAACATTATCAAGCTCAAAATTAAAGGCGAAATAAAATTAACCACTATTTATGTTGTCTATATTTACTTTGTGCCTTTTACTCTGGACTTTTTAGTTTCTTCTTCTGGTTTGTCCTTCTTCAGTTTTCTATTTGGTCTTGGGACAATGTCATCAAACGGATTAAACAAAACCTGTTAAAAAAGGAGTATTTTAGACATATTTTTATGAAGCATTTTGTTGAAATTAAATGATTCAGTGTTTTAAAACACAAGGACATGCCAAGTTTTCCAAACACTGTGTACAAAAGCATTTCAAAATGTCACTTTTCAAACCAGAACATACCTCACTGCTTCTTATTTTGTGTGGACTGAGAGGTCTCTCTTCCTTGTCCACTTCTACTTCAGCCAAGCGCAGCATGTTATATATTGTATCCCCTGTAACCTGGAAAATTTATAAAACAGGGTTGAAAATCTTTGCCTGAAATTCTGGTCACTCAGTCTGAAAAATGTAATGCAATTATTGCATAAAGAACTTTGAAAATACAAATAATATAGGAAATACTGTAAGCACATGAAATGACCACAAGACAGGAAGGACAATGTACAAAGATTCGCTTTTCAAAATCTAACAGCAAAACTGGAAGGAATACAGGTAGCTTTGAGAAAGTATGCCAAATTCTTACTTTGAGCTATGAAATAGGGAAAAAAAACCCACTGAAATAAAAAATAATTGGTTTATTTTAAGCAAATCATGAGATAGGTAAGTGCATACAATCATCACAGAATCACAGAATTTAGGGGTTGGGATAGACCTTACAGATCATCTAGGCCCAACCCCCTGCCCTGGGCAGGGACACCTCCTCACTAGATCAGGTTGCTCAAGGCTTCATCTTACGTTTTTCATTTTCCTGATTCTTCTTGAATCTACAAACAGAATTTTCTAAAATGTCAGCAGTATTAGATGAACTGATTAATAAGACAGAGACATAATAATGTTAGCAAGATTATTTAGAGGCAGCACAACATCAAAATACAACAAATACAGCAACAAACAGCCCACAGAAACATTTCTACCAAGGGAGATAGCTTAGAAAGCAGTGAAATAAATTTCAAATATACATAGCAGCAAACAACACTGAATTAGCCTTCTGAGAAACTTATAGTAGCTTCTGTGAGACTTTAACTGGGGTTCTAGTTTATGTATCAAACCTTTCCAAAGATTGTGTGCTTGTTGTTAAGTTCATCTGCACGACCCAGTGTGAAGAAGAACTGACTTCCATTGTCGTGGGGTCCGGCATTTGCCATTGCGACAAGTCCTCTGCGGTTGAATCGCAACCGGGAATGGAACTCATCCTAGCACAGACAGCAGAGAGAAGACCACAGCTTAGGAATGTGATATATTCTTCACTTCTTTAGCTACATCAGTGTGCACACAGGGAAAATATGCTGTTAATTTTCATTTAAATTCAGACAGTAATAATTCCGAAGTCTTTTGAATTTTTGATTTTGAGCAGCAAAAATTATTTTTAGTCAATATTTTTAATGCTTAGTGACTATCATAATGCAAACAAGTGAACAATCCTCAAAAGAAACCATAAACACACAACCTCAAAAATCAGAAACTAGTATGTGAATAATAGAAAGCTACAACTTAATAATACACTCTCAGTTCTGTCTGGTTAATTTTCATTTTTCCAATCATTCCCTAAAAATTAACTTTTATTAATTATTTTTATTGCCATTCATTATCCCCCAACACTAAGAAAATCAAAAGCATTTATAAAAGTAACTGCATTTCACACATTTCTTGTAAAAATGCCATTCTTGTCAGTCACTGTATTTATGTGAAAAACCCTAATTCATGTCAAGTAACTGAAAGCACAATAACAGACTGTAATAGTACACACAGTACAATAGTGATGCAAAACTCCATAGGAAGAATATTTTATGGACCATAAGAAGACATAAGAGGACTCTTTCCAAAGCAAGGAGAAAGTGATGAGTAATACATCAACACCATGGTAATAGCACAGTTCTAAACACTGCAATATTGAGGTACCACTAATTTCAAGAAGCAATGCCACAGCAATACGGGTAAAACGTGTTCTGTTCTCTGCTCAGGTACAAATCCCTCCCACAAACTTCACATCAGTGCTAGATGTATAAGTCTAGCAACAAGAAGATGCAAGGCCCAGAGTGAAGTTCATGCTAGTAAGGTTATACATTTAAGAATTCTCAATTAAAAAAGGTATATTCAAACCTACTGACGCAGCATGTGAAAGCAAATGGCTGTACAGGTACAACGTTATGTTTCATGCAAGGTTTGGTTCTTCAGAAGCTAATGTGGTAGGAAGAACAGCTGGTAGAGAATAACCATACACATACACACCTTGAAGGGAGCTCCATAGACGGACTCTCCTCCTGATCCAGTACCAGTAGGATCACCTCCCTGCACTATAAAGCCAGGAACTACTCTGTGAAATATTGTGTTATTGTAATACTCTAGAAAAAAAAAAGAGAGAGAGGAAAACAGAAGATATTAAATACACATAAGTTGTCCCAAAATCAAGCTTTCATATAGATTATGGAGAGATGTCCAGAGATTGAAGTTCCAGAAAGCAATTACTGCTGTTCACACTGGGTTGCCTTCTATTCCACAGTCTTGCTCAGTGTGACTATCTCAGATACAAAGTATTGCTGATGATACTTAGGAAAAAACAACCCTCTGGTGTCCTGTGTTTCTGTGACAAAAGACCCTGCACATCCCTAATGAGATGATCTTGATGAACTACTTTCTTTGCAGCTTTCAAGCTTCATTACTGGAATGATACCACCAAAATACTTCCATTTAAAAGGAGAGCTAGAACTACTAAGCTCTGCCCCAGACAATATCTCACATACAATGTTAGCCATATCAATACACCAGATGATCAGCATTTTCACTACCACCACAGAACACAGGTGTCACCTCTTTTACCACCTACACTGTACCTAAACTGTCATTTTCACAAAATGAAATATGTGGTACATTTTGCCCCTGAGTTATCATCTGCTTTCTTTCTAGCTTTCTATCTATCTATCTATCTATCTATCTATCTATCTATCAGATAAAGGTTACAAGGTCAAAAGAAAACCAAAGGAATAAAAAATTTACTTAACATATATTTCTGGTTGATATTGATACTATCATCATCACCATAATTATCATTATTATTCAATAAATCTGCAGCAAGCTGCAGGACAAAGCAGGGTCTGCAAATGTTGCAGCACAGCTAGATATATTCATGGACGGTTATATGCCAGGATACTCATGAGACATGCTCAAAAGTATCATACAAAGCATAAGATACTACACAGAAGTTAGAAAAAAAATCAGAAAGGAAACTAAGCCCACTGAGGATAAGTGAACCCGTATCAAGGGCTAAGAAATTGCTTTACCTTTGCAAAAAATCTCAACATTAGGTGTTAGAACACAGAACAGGCTGGATCTGTGCTGGAGGCACAAATACTAGACTACTGCTGAACAGATGAAGGCTAAAAGAACTCTTAACCACTCTATAAATGCATCCATGGGATAACAGCAGCAGTTAGGAAACACAAAAAGGCACTGAGTCCTTCACAAACTTTTGTTACGGTTTCCCCAACCTGGAGCTTCTCATTCAGGTACTCACTACTTCTGTGCAGAGCATTACAGAGCTTCCATCAACAAAAAACTGCAGCGAATCAAGCATTTGTAGCACTCATAGAAAAAAATGAAAACATTGTAAATATGGTGATGCAGAAATGAGAATTTTGGAGGATGTCCAATATTGCATCATTGCCATTTCGTAACACACACCAAAGGAGCTATACTTTGTAGAAACTTGCTGAAAAAATAAGACTTTCCAAGCCTCTGACAGACAATGGTTCAGTAACACTATGCCATCTGTTTCATTTGAGAAAACCACCAATATTTGTTTATTTCTTTTCTCCACTAGGTCCAGTAACGACTTTGAAAAACATCATTTGAGCATTAGTTAATTTCTAAATACATACAAACTTAGTAACATATCAGTAACTTCAACAACTCCTATTCCATTCAGACATTACCTTCCATACAAAGCTGGACGAAATTTCTACATGCCTTTGGTGCTTCTTTTGACCACAATTCTATGTCTATCTCTCCTGCTGTTGTTCTCAGCAAAACCTATAAAAATACAAACACAACATCAGTTTTAGTCACTGATCAAAGAATATCATTGCTGGCTTAAAAAAACTCTTCTGAATTTGTTATATTGGTAACAGTGGTGCAGACTTAAATGTGCTATTTAGTGACTGTTAGTTCTAGATAGCATTTTCAGAACTTAAGACAAAAGTAAGAATAGATATGTATAATAAGGCTTCAAGGCCAAGGATCTGGTACCTGGCTCATGGTAGAAACCGAGATACCCTTTATCACTTCCAAAAATGAAACAACATGGAAAAAACTCACACAATAGTGCCATAAATCTCCGAAGGTATATATGTCTCTTACAAGTAACACCAACACATTCGGTGAGAGTTCATAACAAAATTGAGGATGGAAGATACAGTGGAGAATACAGGAAATGAAGCGCTCCAGGGGCTGAGGGGAAGCCACAGGAGGAGCAGTTGAGGTCACTTGGTCTGTTCAGCCTGGAGGAAACTGATGACAGAGCTCATCACTGCATGCAACTCCCTCCCGAGGGGCAGGGGCAGCACTGACCTCTGCTCCCTGTGACCAGTGACAGGACCAGAGGGAATGGCCTGAAGTTGTGTCAGGGGACGGTTAGGCTGGATATTATAGAAAGATTCTTCCCCCAGAGGTGTTTGGGCACTGGAACAGGGTCAGGTTGGATGTCAGGACAAGGTTCTTCCCCCAGAGGTGTTTGGGCACTGAA